AACCTCTTCTCTGGCTCTGCTGCCGAAAGGCGCCCCCTTCGCCTGGAAGCATCTAAGCCAGGCTGCCAGAAGGACCGGTAGAGCCTCCGGGCCACGCAGTGCGCCTTGTTGTGCTAGTCATGAAACCAAGCAGGAAACGCACAGTTGAGAGAGTGGCCTTGCTGGGGCATTGTGATATTATTAGTGCCTCTGTTCCCCTCCTGGCTCTCCTTTCGGAAAACAATGTGTTTGCGGATGTAGCGCCGGCCTTACGCTTCTGTGCTTCCTGCTTTAGGGGTTTTGCAAATAACAAGCCTCTGTCCTGCGGACACCTGTGGATAAGAGAGGCCAGACAGAGAACTCCAAGGAATTGCACCAAGAGTGTTTCGTGTGCTGCGGAACCAGGGAGGCGCGTAGAAAAACGATCCATCATTTTAGAACGTTGCCTTTTTAACCTTAAAAATACGTTTCTGGCCCTCAGAGCTTGCCGAGATGCGCTTGAAATTTCAGAAACCGGATAGAAAGTCCTAATAAGTCCTCCGGCGCTCTGGGACTAAGGATTCCGTCATGGCCTCCTAAGTCCGACGCATTCGCCATCTTTTGGAGGTCGGCCTTCACAGGTATAACCTCTGGATCCTGCAGTCTGTCCTGAACATGGTGATCGCTGAGCCGTTGTTTGAGGCTCAGCTGTCATCTGCCTGCTTTCCCTTGCACAGCGTTCCTCTGCGTTTCGTGCTTCAAATTCGACTTCCAGGCAACAGAGACACCTGCAAGATCAGAGGCTTTCACCAAAATGACCCAAACAGCATTGCAGCATCACAGCACTGCAATGCTGCTTTTGTCATCCCCCCCAACTGCCCCTACGAACCCCTCTACCAGGCAGCCCAGAGTCTTGGGTCAAGATGCAAATTGTGCATTTCCTCGATTGCCTTTGCAGTTTTACTGCTTTGGCTAATGCATGAATGGATCTGCCCATTGTGGGAAGGGTCCCCGGAAGCCTGTGTTGGCTTTCGTTTTTGGTGGACAGGAGGGGAGGTTGCTAGACAGATGGACCCTGGGCCCGCTCTCGCCCCTGGCAGGTGTCTTCTCAAGCAGAATTCCAACATCTCTGCTATCAGCAGTTGCAGTGCAGGGGTGTTAGTGGGCCAAGAGGCTGTGGCTCTCTCCTTGCCAGCCTAGAGCACCGTTTTTCAGCCTTGGCAACTTGGAGACGTGTGGACTTCAACTCCCAGAATTCCCCTGCCACGGGAATTCTGGGGGCTGAACTCCACACGTCTCCAAGTTGCCAAGGTTGAAGAACCCTGGCCTAGAGGGTAGAAGCAGGTTTCGAGCCTTCACATCTTGCCACCTGGTAGTTTTAGGAAGGAAAAGGAAATGGCTGAGCCGCCACTCCTGCCTTGCTTCTTCAGTGCCCCTGCTCTTCTCCTGCACTTTGGATTTTGCTGTGGATCAACACACGCAAACAATGATGTGGAGTTTGCTGTTGCATTAAGTAACCTCTAGGTCTCGAGGTTCTTCGCCCCTATTTAAGAAAGGGAAAAAATAGGTCTTTTCTTGTCTTCCAACCCAGGCCCGTGTTCCTCATGCAATTCTCAGGATGGAGTATCTCAGCGAGACCTCTCTGGTCCCTTGTGGGCAAGACAAATACATCTCAAAGTAAGTCATTCCTTGGTGGTCTCTCTGTGCGAGTCTGCGGTGGGCTCTTAGGGAAAAAAAGCACCAGGGTAACGGGGCGAGGGTCAAAGCAGGCAAGATGGCAAGCTCAGGAGGGTGATCATAGCCCCGCCCCTTTTCCTCATCTCTCAATCTTCCATGTGTGTGCAAATGGGCGGGGCTTTGATCATGCTGCTGTGTCCATCATCTTGCCTGTTCTGCCCCCCCCACCCCTGCCATTAATTGATGGGCACATTTCCTTGAACAGAACGGGATGAGCAACATATTGTAGGGCTAAAAACATGGTTGGTTCCCTCCAGGCATGTCTGCAGGAGGGGCCAAAAAAGTCAACATGGCAGCCACAACCACGCAATGGATGCCCACCTCTTTTTTACACACCTTGTGGGTCTCAGTGCATGTAAAAGTGGGGCGGGGTTGCAATCACACGGTTGTGGCTGGCCCTGTTACTTTTTTGAAACACACACACCCCCCCCCCCCCCCCCCCCCGCAATGCCCCTGGTCTCTGTGTTGTGGCAACATGAAGAGACGCAGCAGACCTTTCAGCATCAGGCAGGAGTTTCCATGCGAGGCATCTGAAAATCATTGGCTGAGTGTAAGAGCAAAACAGGACTACAGAACTGTAATGGGAAAGAGCTGCTAAGTTAAAACACTGCATTTGTTACAACAGGCACGTATCCCAGTCTCAGAGATTAAGAGAAGTTGGCTCACTGCTAACGGTCATCCATCGCCAAAGAAGGCTGACCGTTTTTCTCCAGCTCTTTCTGATCATTGTAGGCGAGTCTGAGTGATGCTAAACGAAGACGACTGTTGTGCTTCTTGTGTAGTTGGCCTGCGGGGTCTTTGCCTTAGACAAGCCTCCCTCTCGTACCTGGCCTGGGCGGCTGTTTTGCATGCTAGAAGTTCCTGGTCCCTGCCATCAGGGTGTGCGTTGCGTGAATAGGTCTCGTGTGGAGCTAGAGAGGAGAGTCCCCATCTCCTGGTTAGAGAAACTGTGGCCCCCAGATGTGTTTCTGTTTGAGCCCCCCCCCCCACTTTCTTCTAACTCTTGTTCCCCCTCCATTCTTCCAGGAATGAACTTCTGCTACACTTGAAGACCTACAACTTGTACTACGAAGGTCAAAACCTGCAGCTTCGGCACCGGGAGGTAGGAAACGGATTCTCTCCCCAGCCCCCCAAAGGGCAAGATGTTGGGAGCAGAGGCGTGTTCACGGCACAAGTCAGGAAATGCAGCCCTGGGTTCAGACGCAGCTTAATGGTCCAGGGATCGCTTTATCATCATTTCATCCAGAGAGCATCAGTATCTGAGGTGGCTTCCACAGGTCCTGCAAACCCACGAGAACTTCCCTGCGGAGACCTTGCCCTGCACTGCTTTCTTCGCCCTTTTGCACCTTCTCTTAGTTACCTGGAGCAATTTGGGTGGGCCATTCCTCCCTGCAGTTTGCTAGGCCTGGGGGAGGCACAGCTGTCGTTTGCAGCCTCTTGGAGTGTTTCCTGGTTGGGGCTTTGCTTGATTTTGCGGGAGAGGATCTGGGCTCAGCCTTTGGCAATGCCAGGGGCCGTTTGCCTTTCTTCACCCAGACCGTGCCAAGGGTACTGTACCCCCCCCCACCAGCACTAGGAGGAGTCAACACGGGGGGCATTCAGGGAGGGCACCCCCAAAGCAGGGGAAGCTTCATTGCTCTTTTAAGGTTAACTTTACATTTAGGGGTGTTCAAGCACTTGGAGCTCTCCGGAGGAGGAATTCTTTGCAACTGGGATCATTGGCTCTTTAAATATTTTAATTGAAATTTAACAGATGGTTAGGTTTTGGCAAATCCGGCATGAAGACTGTAGAAGGCCCTGAAGCCAAACTCTTGTTATTCTAACCTCTCCCCACAAAAGTTTAGGAGTTCAGGAGGCATTGTTCACATGCCTTCCCTAAAATACGAATTAGACATCGCTGAACAAAATGGTGGGCTACCTTTCGCTGGTATTGAGTCTGACCTTGCAGGATTGAAACTGGCAGTGGCTGGGGGGCAAAAGGGCAGGGGGTGCTCCTAGTCTGAAGCAGAGGTGCTCAGAATTGAACTTGCAACCTACCCTGTGCACGTTGTAGCACCGAACCAAGCCAACACAGACCACCTATTGGCTTAGCACGTTGTGTGGGTTCATTGTGCTTTGCAAACTTTTGTGTAGGGCCAGAGATGTTGTGTGTATGCAACCGATTGTGATTTATTCCATCAACCAGAGTCTTCAACTTTGGTCCCCTGAGGGCCACGGCATATTCTGTGTGGCATGCTGAGGGCCACACTTCAAAACTAGGTGGGCCAGAGTCATACTGGTGGAGCTTTGGGGAAGTTTATGGGACGAAATGGTCATCCTGAGCCCTGCAAAGCTTCCAACACCTATTTCCTCCTTGGTCTCTGGAAACCAAACAAAGAAAAGGAGGCCTTTCTGAACATTTCGGTTCCGCTGGGCCACTGTTCTTTCCTGTTGCCAGCCAGTTTCTGCTCTTTCGTAAGGGCCTCTTTCTTGTTCCACCCTGTAGGAAGAAGGAGAATTCATCGTGGAGGGGTTGCTGAACATCTCCTGGGGCCTGTGCAGGCCGATCCGCTTGCAGATGCAGGACGACAACCAGCGTATCCGCCCTCCTCCTTCCTCTTCCTCCTGGCACTCTGGCTGCAACCTGGGCGCCCACGGGTCAGTACACACTCTGGGGCAGGAGGCCTGTGTGTGTGCATGCACGCACACACCTATTAGTCACGGCCTGTGCCCAGAGAGAAAGGCTGATGACAGGTTGCAGGCCAACGCATGCAACGCATTTCTAACAGCCCTTTTGTCCAGAGAGGAGCAGTTGGCTGTTTTCTGCTCCAGTTCCCCCTGCCAGCTGCTTCCCTCCCCACCGGCATTGAATTTGCTCTTCTGGAAGGTAAATGTGCTCCTAAAACCCTGCTGGGAGGGAAGAGGAATTGGGCCTCTGGCCCCGCCACCCCGCCTGCCTTCCTCGTGGGACCAGATTCTTTTTTCCAAACCCTTCCTTTGATACAGGAGTCCCCAGGGGTCCCCAGGGGTCCCCAGCCATTACGGGGCTCAGACTGAGATCCGCACTGGCCTTTTTGGAGAGCAGAGTTTTGCACAGAAAATTCTCCAAACCTGCAGTTATAATCCCTTCTGTGATAACATAGAATTGTTCTTTGTGTATTTTAATTCTCCTGTTTGATTGTTTTGGTTTCAAGATGACCCTCCTGTAATCTTTCACTTAAATAAGGGTTTGGACTGGAGCAACTGAGGATAAAAGGAAGGGTGATCTGAATGTACTGCCACATGGGAATTACCGTGCCGATTCCTGGAATATTTGGTCGGAGTGGGAACTGGATTTCGTTCAGGAATTGAGTTCAGCTCACTTGGACTCAACACACTTAACTTTTTGAATGAGATGGGGATTATTTGGAGTTTATCCCAAACTCTCACATCTCTTTCTCTCTTTTCTCTCCTCCCTCCCTCCCTCCCTCCCTCCCTCCCTCCTTCCTTCCTTCCTTCCTTCCTTCCTTCCTTCCTTCCTTCCTTCCTTCCTTCCTTCCTTCCTTCCTTCCTTCCTTCCTTCCTTCCTTCCTTCCTTCCTTCCTTCCTTCCTTCCTTCCTTCCTTCCTTCCTTCCTTCCTTCCTTCCTTCCTTCCTTCCTTCCTTCCTTCCTTCCTTTTTCCTCCCTCCCTCCCTGTTTTTCTTTCGTTTTTTCTTTCTTCACTTGGATCTCAAAGCAAAATTCATCCAGGTACAAGGGCTGGTGCATCTGTGCCTGCAGCTGCCCAGATTATATTTTCAGTTCCTAAACAGCTGCACTATCACAGGATCGGTTTCTCAGGCTTACTTTGCAGGATGCCGTCATCAAAATGAACATAGATTCCTTGGAAACTGACAGCTAAACAATGGAAAGGCATTCTTGGTGCCCTTCTTATGCAAAGGGACCAGCCTTTCAACGCTGGAAAGAGAAGTTTTGGCCCCAGAAAGCTGATGGGCTCAAGACCTGATATTGTTACTTGGTACTTATGGATGAGTTACGTACAGAGGCAGATGATGCCTGGACAATTACAATGAAATATGGTCATTCTTTACTGAAATTGTTAGGTAAAACTTCTCTCTCTCTCTCTCTCTCTCTCTCTCTCCACTCACTCACTCACTCACTCTCTCTCTCTCACTCTCTCACACAGACCCACACACACACACACGGAGTAAAGGATGACCGTATTTCATTGTAATTGTATATATGGATGTGTGTGTGTCTGTGTATCGGTGAAGTCTGTGTGTGTGTGGTTGTACTTGTCCTTCAAGTCAGTGTAGACTCCTGGGGACCTACGTGACAAGTCCCTGCAGTGTTCTAGGCAGCATTTTCATTTCATTTCATTTCATTTCATTTCATTTCATTTCATTTCATTTCATTTTCGGAAGTGGTCTAGCAACACCTTCTTCCTGGGGCTGAAAGGGAGGGACTGGCCCAAATTCCCCCAGCCAGCTTTCGTGCCCAAGGTGAGACTCGAACCCGCAGTCTCCTTGCTCCTGGCCCAGCTCCTTCGTCACTAGGCTGAACTGGCTCCCATTCGTTCATATGTATGTGTGTGTATTGATATTAATACTAACAGGAAGTTAATGTCATCTCCTTAAATGCAAGTTCTTGTATTTATTTATCCCCAAAATGCTGCTATGTTGAGATTTTGATAATGTGAAAATGTCTATCTCGGTTTAAAGGTGAATTGTCAAGATTGTCTTCAGAAGTCTGAAATATTTGTTTATTTAATCAATTTATATGGTTGCCCATCTTGCAATAGCAACTCTGAGTGGCTAACGTAAGGTTAAAAAAAAATCATATACCATAATATAATATCTATCCTGGCAACTGAGATCCACAGAAATCCTAGAATCCTAGGGTGGGAAGGGAGTTTGGAGGTCTTCCAGTCCAGCCCCTGCCCAGGACAGGAATCCTCAGACCACTCCGGACAAAGAGCTGTCCAGTCTTTTCTTGAAACCCTCCAAGCGATGGAGCCCCCATGACTGCAGGGGGCCGGTGGTTCCACCGCTTCATAATTCTCACAATCAGGAGATTCCTCCTCCTTTCAGCAGATGACCCCTCGATCTCATGGATCCAGTTAACCTCCCTGCCCTCTGTTTCTGGAAACTGGCACGCTTGCTGGGAATCTGTAGCTCAGCTTGACTATATAAATGGCCCTTATTGTGGGGTCTTTGTGAGGTGGTGGAGCAGTCCTGTGAAACGGCAGACTAGAAGGTTATGTCCTGAGTTTCTTTCTCCTGCCCTTTCCTCCTTGAGGACCAAACATCACCCTTCTTGCAGGCTTGTGGCCACCTACGCAGGTCTTCCGTAACAGTGCTCCCTGCCCCAGCCTTCCTTCTCCCCACTTTGTAACTTCAGCCCCGACCGATGGACTAAAAGTCCTTTGACTGGTGGGCGTCTCTAACGAGAATCACTTGCCTCAGAAGACTCAAAAAAGTCCTGCTGTTCATTTCCTACCTCCTTGAGTCTTTACTTCTTTCTCTCTCTCATCCCCAGGTCTGTCATCAAACCCACCACCTTGCCTGATATTCAGGTCACAGACGCCGAGCCCACATCAGAAGGGGACGGGGCTGATGGGAAAATGGGTAAGATCGGAAGGGATGCTACTGGTGCTCAGACCAAGGGGCGGATGAAAGAAATAAGCTCTTTTTCATGAATTTCCACCACGGGGCTCTCCTTATATGATTTCAGATAGAATAAAAAATAATATTTATGCATTGATTTGTTAGATTTATATCCTGCCTTTCCTTTAGCTTGAGGCATGCATAAGATAGTCCCTCCTCCTATTTTTCCTTGACTGATTGATTGTGTACCATCAATTCATTATCGTCTCCTGGTGACCACATGGATAGATTTTCTCCAGGACGATCTGTCCCCCACCTGGTCTTTCAGCTCTTCCAGTGCCCTGTAACTGAGTCCCTCCGGTTTGCTGCTGGTCATCCTCCTCTTCTCTTTCCTTCCACCTTTCCCAGCATCAGAGCCTTCTTCAGAGAGCTGGGTCTTCGCATCATATGTCCGAAGTAGGATAATTGGAGCCTGATTTTTCCCTACAACAAAGTAATTCAGGAACTGACTTAAGAGTTTTGCACATGCAGTCAGTATGTCCTGAGAAGCTGTATCTCGGCTTTTTTGTTGATTACAAGAGGGGGTGTGCAGAGAGAACCCAAATATAGTTGCATCCTTTGTTCGCACAACACTCTTGACTCGGTCAGCCACTATCCCCAGTCCAATTGCTTCGCCCCGGATCTTCCAGGAAGTGCCTGATATTGATTGATTGATTAGATTTCTACCCCACCTTTATTAGCACAACTCAAAGCAGTGTACATAATGTTCCCTCCTCCTATTTTCTCCGCGACAACAACCCTGTGATGTGGGTTTGGCTGAGCGGAAGGGACTGGTCCAAAATCACCAACCGGCCTTCGCGCTGGTTTCTCTTTCAGCCGCTTCACCAGCCGAACCAAACTTTCTCATTCTCTCTTTCAACATGCCTCATGGTGCAAGCTCTGCCCCTTATGTTCTTGCGTGTGAGGTCGCAAGGTCTGTTTCATTCCGGCATGCTCAGGGTTAGGAATGATCATCTATGGTCAACTGTGGGGATTAGTCGCTGTAGGAGAGTTTCCAGGTTGGGCGGTTTTAAAAATAGAGAGCTTTGTGGCAGACAGTCTGAGCCATTGCTTGGCCCTGAGCTATGCGTCTGAAGATCCGTTGGGGAGTAACAGTAGGAGAAGGGTTTGCAGGTATATACACATGTGTACACATGCACACAGGCACACACTCCTGCTTGTGGGATTGTGGCATCTTTGGAGAACGAAAGGCCGTGCAGACCTTTGATGTGATCTAGCAGGGCTCTGTTGCTTAGGAGTTTGCAAGACCAGCACTAGAGGCTAAGCTTACACACACACACACACACACACACACACACATCTGGCACCCAGGGATGCGAAGGAATCAGCTTGGCTCCCCTTCCCCTTGGCAACAGAGTCCTCCTTCCTCGAAATGGGGCACAACAAAAGTCATTGTTAGTCCGAGTTGCCATGGCTGTCCTTCCTGTTTAAGAAAACAGAGCAGCTGCTCGTGGGCTTCAGTGTTTAAAAAGGTTGCGGTTTCTTTGCCATCAGAATTACAGTTTGACTTTAAAAAAAATAAGCAAGCAGCTTATGGCAGATCATAGGTGAGGCATCCACGCTTGTGGGCACGAAACAGCTCACAATTTGGACTTCCAGAGATTTTCATGTGCTTGCAGGCTTTTCAGCTGCACCGAATGCGTGTGCGTGTGTGCGTGCGTGCGCACACGCAGAGCACCTATTATAATACCCTTTGAGCATTTCTCTCCCAGCGAGGCCTTCCCATTCCAGAAAGTTGTTTTCTCCCCCCTTAGACAACCACCATCTCAACTTTTGGGAGCCCTCCCCCCCATCCCCCAGATGCTCCGGCGAAGCCTTTGCAAAACTGAAGCCGCCCGTTTTGTCCTTTGCTCCCCCAAAGGCAAAGTTTGGGGCCCAACCACTGTGGAGCCACGGAATGAATGATGCTCGGCTGCGTGTGGCCCAAAGGTTGCACGCTTGCCCCCCGACTTCCACGGGGCTATAGTTCCTGGGGTGGCCCTACGCAGACAGGGCAGAAAGGGAGGTGCTGCTGCGGTGCTGCTGATGACTTCCTCTTCTTGCTTCCACCAACGCTTGTCAAATTCACAGCCTGGGTCCTGGAGTCAAAGAGCTGTTGCCAAAACGTCAAATGCGGGGAGGTGTGAATTGTACATTGCAGTGTAAGTCACACACGCTGTAAAATCAGAAGAAGGGGTGGGAATCAAATCTAAGCCAATTCGTGTTTCAACCCTTCCTTTCTCACTCTCCAGAATCTTCCCCCAGTTTGTTATCCGGGGAAAAACAAGCTACTTTTCTACCTTTCTACGGTGTTGAAAAAGTTGGCAGCTATTGAAACATGTGGCGCTGCAGCTGGACTGGAAAATGTATTAATTCCCTTTTCATAACCGATTGTGTTCGGTGCAAGCAGCGCTATTGAGAGATGTAAAAATGTAATTAGAAGAAAAGGAAAACACATGGGAGTTATCCAAAGCGTAAACAGTTCAAACCATGCTAGAATTTGAGAATAAAGAACACCCACGTATTAAACTTGGAAATTGGGGTGTGGGCAACTTGCGGGGGCACAGATAACTTTTGGGGGGAGGTCCCAAAAGCTGCAGTGGATTGCGCTTGGATTTTCCTTTTTTGTTTGTTTTTCATTTTTCCCCCCAGATGTTTTTGTTTTTTGTAGGAGACTTTTTTGTTTTTACTGTACTTAGCTGACTGGCTAATTTCAGAGGATTTTGAAAAAACTAGCCAAGTCAGACTTAGGTCACACTTGGATGGGAGACCACTTGGAAATCTTACAGCTGTAGCCTAGATCAGTGATTCTGAATGTGGGCCATGGCATATTTCCAGGGAGCCACAGTCTTTATATGATAACAGCTTAGATTAATAAACAGTGCAGGTGGTAAAGTACCTTTTTTCCAGCTAACAGCGATTATGAGGGAGTCACAGAGATAAATAAGGTTTGCGGGGGTTAAGCAAAAAAAGGTTGAGAACCTTTGGGCTAGATTGGGAAGTTGAAAAAACTTATTGGAAGAGGGCAAATCACTTTTGTATCATTGCAAAGAAAACAACATGGACTTGTCCATGAAATCAGCAGCATAAGTTAAGGGACTCTTCACTTTTTGGTGAGTAACGGCTGTTTTAGGAGTTTACAATACCATTGATACGTGCAGCATAATTTCCATTTAATGAACCTCAGTTTAGCAGACCTCAGTTGAAATGGACAAAATCTATATGCCTCTGTGCATGCGTAAAACCCTATCTGCCATTTTACCCATGCATAAAATCCCATTGGGATTTAACAGACATTCTGTTTTAACAGACGCCCTTCCCATACTAGTCATTTAAATCAAAGGTTTCCTATGTTTCCTTTCTGCAAATGAGAGCGTGGTGATGACATTGGACAGCCTGGTGAGAAGGATACCCAGGCCCAAAGAGCTTTAGGGGCTGTAGATCTTAATGCAAACAGCCAAAGACATCTGGAGAAAAATAGCTTTGCTTGAAGGGAAGGGCAACGAAGACATGCATGGAGGTTCTCTCTGAACAGCCTGAAAAAGGTTTCCTACTTGAATCCACATTACAAATTCAACCCTAAACCCGACTGAAAAAACAGCATGCTTTCTCAACCCAATCCACCATATTGTGGTTTAACACGGAGGCTGGTCCCCTGTCAGCCCTTCAAGGAAGGCCAGGTCAAATAACAGCCATGGCGGGAATGCCCGAAATGTTCTTTATGGCAGCGAGGTAGAATAACTGGAGCTTGGAAGCCTCTCCAAAACTTTCTCTGCTCCTTTTCAAGTCCCACGAAGTCAAGGTGGGGCCGATCTGAGTCTCTTTCTCACGCTTCCCGCTTTGGCAGGGCTGGGCAATTGTTTTCGCTCACCCTCCACCTCCTCAAGGCCAGAGCTACATTCCTTGCATTCCCACAGCACACGCAACATTGCCAAAGAGCCAGCCACGCCTTCCCCTGCGGTATGATGAACCCAACCTCTTTGCTCCAGTTTTGCGGTTGGAAATCCAAAAAGGCTTCACATCTGCATAGAGAACCTGTGGGAAGTGGACCATGGGCCTTGGGGCTTGGCTCAGCCAATGCTCTCCAAAGCACACTGTATCAGAAAAGAAAAGGAGCCATGGAGGTGCCCCGTGGTCTTTCCGTGCATCTTTTTTCTCTCCCCTTTTGCGGGCAGGACAGGGGAAGAGGGTCTGGTTTTGAGCAGGGTGACCTGGGACATGCCTCCCCATTGCCAGCGCTCTCGGAAGGAAGCCCATGTGGCAAAATGGAGGAATGGGCATCCAGGATTTGGGCAATGGGTCCTCTGAAGGGACCCAGAGAGGCCTTGAGGAGGGCTGCTGGGGGTCATCTTGCAGACGCATCAGAGGCCCCCGAAGGACCTCTGGCTTGCAGGTGACCTTGCTCCCAAATATGAGTCTGCAGTCAACATCATGGACGGAAGGGGTGCCCGTTGCTGCTGCAGCCCTCATTTCCGTCTCCAAGAGAGTGCCCTGGATGGAGATAGGCAGGAACCGATGCTGAAGCAAAAGGGCTAAAACGTTCTTTTAAGTCCTGAGGCACAGGATGATAATTGGAAGCAGCTCAGACAGACGCCTCCCTGATTCTCTGGGGTGTAAGAAGCGGGAGGAGGACTGGCACAGTCCAACTGGCAAGAGTCTGTTCTTAGAGCCCATCTCAATCGAGGCCGCTTTACCCTTCCTGCAGGGTTGATTTTCTGGCCTGCTTCTTAACCTGGTGGGGCTGAAGACGGTGAGAGGAAGAGGGATGTGCTGAGGGACCCAGGGCCACCAGACTCTGTTGCTTCGGCTTTGTTCTCGCTTCATTTTCAATTCCGCGATCCGTGGTCTGAAACGGAGCTGCCCAGGAGGGTCGGTCCACGGCGCGGTCTCCGGTGAAAAGAAAGGCTGCAAGGAGGCAATTAAAAATGGATTAGGAGGAATTTCATTCTGTTGGGGAGCAGCGCCAGGAATCCCCCGGGAGCTCCAGGAAGCTGTCTGGTGACAGAATATAACTCTATTAAAAAGCAGTTGACGTGGAGGCGTCCCCCGTTTGGTCTGGCCGGGGGCCGAGCCGGTCACTGTGGCAGGAGCAGACGGTCCTTTCTCAGACCGAGGACTTCTCGGCTGCACCAGGAGCTGCATCCCCCAGCAGACCAAACCAAGCTACGTTATTTACACTAATAACGTTGTGCTTCGTCATATTAACAGGGCGGTGGTGGTTAAGGGGGTCATGTGGGCATCAAGGAGCCCCAAGTTCACATCCACCCTCAGCCAGTCACCCAGAAAACTTTGGTTCCTCCAGTGATATAATGAGAAGAAGTAATAGATCACTTTGGGCCGGTCGCTCTCAGGCCTGCCTACCACGCACGGTTGTTGTGGGGGGAAAATAAGAGGGAGCACTGTGTATGTTGCCTTGAACTTCCGAATAAAAGGCGGGATAGAAAATTGGCAAATATGTAAACCATGTTCTTATTTTCTATCTATCTTCCTTTCTTCTTTTTTCCTTTCATTTTTTTCAGACTTTTATCATATTAGAAAATTCTAATAAAAACTTTTAAAAAAGAAAATATGTAAAGAAAATAATTTTGGAAAGGCCCAACAAAGGTGGGTGGTCGCAGGAGGCTTCCGGGGCTCAAATTCAGCTCCTCATTATAAGCGACTCTCCTAATGTCACCCCACTTTTTAATTTCAGTGATTAGAAAATAACACGCCAATAATTCCAGGAGCCGCATATCCTTCCCCAAAATTTCACTGTCCGGTGGCAAAAAATTAAATGAGACCTCCTGGGCATTAAAATTGCAAGGCAACTGTTAAATGACCTGGGAAGCTGAAAGAGCGCAGGAATATAATCCAAGGCGTTTTTCGGGTTTCTGCAGAAATCTGATGATGGCACCGTTTAGATGTCTGGTAGCCAAAACGGCGTCTGTGAATTTCGTCTCACAATAGTGGCGCCGCTCCAGGCCACAAAAGGAGAGCGGGACGTGGGCCGTAGAGCCGCTTTTGGGATGGCCCGAGAGCCACAAGGAGGATTTTGTAGGCTTGATGAATTCCAGCATCACTGAATTGCCTTTCCACTAACCCTTTCCTTCAAATTAATTCAGCCTGCTTTCTATTTCCTTTTTATTGCTGCTTTTTGCTATTCCCCTTTAGCCCTAAACAGTGAAATTAAGACCCAAGAGAGCGCTGGGTAGCAAATCTCCTTCTGCAGATTGCACATGCGATTCTCCGTGCACATAACGTGACCTTTGTTGGTTGTGGAAAGTGTCTTTTTTGGTGGGAGAACCGTAACAGCCGAGAGCTGGCTCCTATCTGTAAAAGGCGCCCTTTCATCAGACGGGCCCTCGCGGCTCAAGATGGGTCTTAAGTGTTTCTCTTCCTAGGGAAGGAAAACAAAGTGAACATTGTCTGTCTTTGTGCATCTAAGCTGTGTGTGTATGTGTGCGGGTGTGTGTATTGCTTTATCGGTCGTTGGACCATTCATATAAGGGCCCAAATTCATATAAGGAGACCAAGGATCCCAACGTCTTTTTAGATTTTGTTTTCGTTTTGCGCGATTTGAAGTGTCCTTTTCCATTTGGCAGCGGCGTTGGGGGGCGTGGTGCAGATGATGAAGATGGTGATGCTAATTTATTAAGTTTATAGGCCGGCTGACTCTCCGCGATTCTGAGTGGTGAATGAAAGCAGGGTTGTGACGTCCTGACAACAGCCCCATCCCCATTTTACAGGCACTGCTTGTACTTAGGAAAGGGGTTGGACATGCATCACAACAGGGCAGCCCTGTTTTTGTTGCTCTGATGAACGCCTCTGATCCTGCAGAGGCCTCTGACGTTTGTATTCTTTTAACGCCTCTTGAACTTCTACATTTCAGACGACGAGGAACTGAAAACCCAAGCAGAAGAGGTGCCCCAACTGATGCGGACACGGAGCGATGTTGGAGTGCGCCGCAGAGGGAACCTTCGCACCCCCAGCGAACAGCGGCGGATCAAACGCCATCGCTTCTCCATCAACGGGCATTTCTACAATCACAAAGTGAGTCTCCCGGGGCCGAGGGCTGGTCTCTTCAGAAAGCCGTACAAGAAGACCTGGGACAGCCAAGAAGGTCCTCAGACGGGGACTGGAGCTCCTCTTGGCTGTTTGCTCAGGAGCACATTTCAAAAGAAGGCATAAAAGGAGGACTGAAGATCACTCTTCCCCCTTCATTATTTTAAGTTGCATACCTTGACTGCGTACAACTTTTAATATTGGTGATAAGAAGATGTAATTTGGTCATTTAAGAACACCGAAGTAATGGTTATGAAGTTCACTCTGTCTACAACAACTTTCCCCAATTTCTCAACTTTTGTAATTCCTGAAGATGAAATTGGGGATGGCAAGCTTAATGTCTGTTCTCTTGTTCGTCTGATAAAAGCTCATCTTTTTGATCCCATTTTACCTTCAACAAATTATGGGCAATCACCCATTAGCTGCATTCACACCATGCCCTAGGGTGGGCTAAAATGGACTCAGGCAATTTGTGGAAACTCAACCATGATCCTACCATGTTGGGTGAACTGAACCAGTTATGTGAAATCATAACACAGAGCATGTTCTGTGAATGCTGCCTTGGTGTTTGGTTAACGTGGGATCAGGGTCAATCATATTGTGGGAACTCAGTCTTTTAATCTAACATTGTAATGGCCCTCATCATGCAGGGCCCGTGGCAACTTCCTTCTTCCCTAACAAAAGTCTTAGCCTGATTCTTCAAGTGAACCCTCTTCTCTCCTTCTCTCTGTTCCCTTCCTCAGACATCAGTGTTCACACCAGCATATGGCTCCGTCACGAACGTCCGTATCAACAGCACCATGACAACACCACAAGTTCTGAAGCTGTTGCTCAACAAATTTAAGGTGTGTTTTGTTCTGATTCTGATTGGTTTCTGCTGCAGGTGGGGTCAGGGCTGGTCCAGCTTTCTTGCCTAGGGTACAAAATCCAAAACTTAGCTTCTCTCTCTCTATGGTTCCTTCCCCTACTCTATATGCTTATGCGAGTCCTGTTTTTAAGGCTTCATCACAGGGACTTTCGGGGGAGGGTATCAAAGAAGTCAAGATAGTGGCCACAAATATGGGACCATTGCACCATTGTGGATGCCATCTTGGGGGGTTTTTTACACCCCCTGCTTGATCAAGCGGGCAGTGGTCTCTTGGCCTCTCCTGCTATCCATAATGATCCTTCAAACTGGCCCCAGCCTCGTGGCTTTATCACTGGGCTGAATCAGGGTGGTGGGTTTTTCTGCAGAGCAATGAAGCAACTCAGTGCCATCAAGTTGCACTTTTGCCCCAAAGACTTACGGGTTCATCTTGAATTCATTAGCAAGGGGACTCTTGGTTGGACAAGAAGCATTTGGGGAGGTAGTTTGGAGGGCAGTGCTGCATGCATGGGTAACCAGTGCTCTTTTTTTCCTGTTTTCAGATTGAAAACTCAGCAGAAGAATTTGCTTTGTACATTGTTCACACCAGTGGAGGTGAGAAGGATGTTTTTGTGTCCCGCTGTGGTAGGGCGTCTGTGCAGGTCTGCAAGCTTTTTTGACCCAAGGTCCTCTCTTGGGCCTCACTCAGTATCGGGTGGAGTGAGGACAAAGAAAGTTGTGAGGCAGAACAAATATTAACATTAAATCCATTAAACGGTTTAGTTTATATCAGTGCTTCTCAACCTTGGCAATTTTAAGATGTGTGGACTTCAACTCCCAGAATTCTGGCTGGCTGGGGAATTCTGGGAATTGAAGTCCACACATCTTCAAGCTGCCAAGGTTAGGAAACACTGGTTTATATAGCTGTTCCCGCATTCTGACATGTTAATAAGCACTGCTTAATCACAAAATCTGGAGGTACAGTGAAGACCACATCTGATGATTTCTACTGGCTTGCGAGAAGTGCGTATTAAAAGAAAAAGCTAGAGCCAGCTTCCCCCGAACAAAGAACACACACAGATGCAAAGAACTGTGCTTGGCACTCTCAGCATGACCCTATTTTTGTTTTTTGCTTTTTACCTTGGATAGCAGGCCATCTGCTTTTAACCTCCCCCTCTCCATTTCCAAAATGTGCCCAGAAGATGGGGGCTCTTCTTCAGAAAACAGCCCCCAAATGATCATTTTTAGGTAGAATGGATGTCACAGCTCCCTGAACTCAGTTCCTTCCAGGACTACATTAAAACGAGCCCCATTTCCTCTAGGGGATGGCCCAGGCATCTCAGGGCACCATTGCACAGTTTCAAGAGATGGCCCAGGGTTGTTTCCAGCCAAATTAGACATTGGCAAGACTGTGAGATTCCAGAAGACCTTGGCAGTCTTACGCAAAGGTGAACAGAAAAAATGTAGATCATCTCATGAGATTTCACTGAGGCATTTTGATTGAAGCCCATAAAAGAAAGAAGTCCATAAGAAAGGTGGAAGGAAAAAGAAGAGGACAACCTCTAACAGGGTGGATGGACTCAAATACAACAAGGGTGGTTGCACTGTTGGAAGACCTGAAGGAGCAGGTTGGGGACAGATCATCCTGGAGAAGGTCTATCTACGTGGTCACTAGGAATCAACACCGACTTGGTAGCCCACAATCATTCTGGTTGTGGAAAGACTTGGGATACCGCCTGGGGATCCATCAGGTGCTGCATTTTCATGCATCCTGCATGGAAGTTTCTTGATCCACTTAGTAGAGAAGGGCATTTTCTTGCTATCTCTCCTGTTGGTAAAAATGAGCTGTCCTTGAGGCCTGGGGTCCCAACCCTCACCCTTGTTCCCTGTCTCCTGCAGAAAAGCAGAAGCTCAAAGTCACTGATTACCCACTGATTGCTCGGATACTGCAGGGGCCGTGTGAACAGGTTTCCAAGGTTTTTCTGATGGAGAAGGACCAGGTGGAAGAGGTCACGTATGATGTGAGTTGTTCTGTGGTGAGAATCCATTTTTGCCAATCATGTAGAGATGCTATCTTAATATCCAGCATCTTTGGAGGAGGGAAATGCTAGGCCCATCATTAAAACCTCTCCTGGGCTCTCTTTCAAAAATCCCCATGTCTTCATGGAGTAGCTGTACACCTATCTTTGTATTTATTTCTCATTATCTGTATTAATAGTTGACTCATATTGTTAATAAGTTCATTCTCTCAGTATCCCAGAAGGAAGCTATCAATAACCATAATGGTGTGAGTGCTTTACTGTTTCACAAGAATGTATTCCATTGGTCTTGCCACTACCTCTATTTCAGGGGCTGCACATTCTTATTTCCCTTTTTTCCAGGCCCAGTTTCAGGCCATGGAACCTTCTCATGCCAACCTTAAAGGACTGGGTGTTCATCTGTATCTTAGCACAATCTACCCCATTGGTTGGTTGTGGGAGAAGAGGGGAGAAAGGATGCTGTGTACTGTATACCCTTTTGGGTTCTGGAGGAAATGTCAGATATAAAGGTCTAGTTCACATGTGCTTTAGTCCCTCAGATGCAGGTGGGACACAAGTGTTTCAGAAATAGCACCAAGGGGTGAAATGGGCTTCCACTGTCCCACCGTTAGCCTTACTTTGTTGCTGTGGTGCCTAAATGGGACCATCACCGTTCACCACAGAACAGAGAGTATGGAGCTCTTCTCCGCCCCTGTACAAAAATAGCCCACCAAACTGTTCCGGGGATTCTGTGAGACTTGCAGGAATCGGGTGTTTCCAAACCATCTGTCTCACTTTTCCATATTTTGTGTGTTCATGCAGGTTGCTCAGTATATTAAATTTGAAATGCCAGTTCTAAAAAGCTTTATCCAAAAACTGGAAGAGGAAGAAGACCGGGAAGTGAAGAAATTAAGGCACAAGTAAGTTCTTTCTTTGCTGGGAGCCAGCAACAGGAAAGGAAGGTTCTAGTAATTCTGCAGATTAGAAAGTCCTGATGATAAGATGCTGCTTTTATTGATACGGCTTCTTCCTGGAGATGCTTCCATGCATGATGCATGAAGTGCCTTTTCCATCCCAAGCCCTCTAGCATGTGGACTCAGAAGTGAGTCCCAGTGAACTTTCTGGAACCCTCTCTTAAGTAATTTTGCCTAAAATTACAGGTTTAGTTCGTGCTCTGTAAAGCCACCTTGAGTGCGCAAGAACTCTGTTTTCTTTACTAACAATGGGAAGAATGTTCTCTATGTTCTGAAGTCCACCAAAATATGAGCAGTTAATGGTACCGACCATAGCCTCTCTCCACTAGCAAGGTTACGTTGGCCAGGTTCAGCAGCTGCCATGATTGCCCACAAAACAGAGCCAGTAGGGTGGGACCTGGCCATTGTAGGATGTACTATCAAAGGAGTAAGGAGAGGCAACCAGAAGTTGGACAGTGGTTGAAGAGACCCAGTATAAGAAACTGCGATGCTCAGTTTCCAACAAAAGCAACTCTCCTTGAAACCGATGCATGTTCGAAGAAAAGTTCATTTATTGAGAAGTAGTGTACAGATCTAAGGCATTGCTGGAACTAAAGCCCACACACATCAAAAGTTGATTTTACCCCCTTCTGTTCCTCAGCCTCTCTTGCGCATGTCCACGGTTCTCTCCTGGTCTCACGTTGGCACGCCCTTGGGCATTCTTGAGAACCAGATAAAACTCCATCTGCACTTAACGGTTCACCTTCCAACCTTCCCCCCTCCCTCTCCCTTGTAATGGCAAAAACGAAGCAAGCAAACTAGCAGGACGGTTGATTGATTGCGAGGATTCTGACACTCAGGTTGAAGACCATCCTCAACCATGGGAGGTTATTGAGTGATTTGGGCCCAGTCACACACCCTCAGTCTAACCTACATCATTGTTGCTGTATGGAGATAAATTTGGAGGAGGTAGAACCTTTCACTTTTGGGGAAAAGGTAGGATACATAAATGGAAGGGAAGGCAGGGGTCAGGCATGTTATAAATGTCCCTGGTTTTGCTCCAAGATCTAATAGAGGCTCCAAAAACAAAGACAAGAGATGCCACCTATCTTCTGGAAAGAAGAACTTAAATATAGATAAGAAAGCACAGAAACCTTAGTGCGTTATTCAGGGAAGGAAATAATTTCATTTCCT